AATAAAAAATTATACTTCAGATGTTAATTTAGTATCAAAAACGTAAAATATTTGAGTAGCCCAAGACATAGCCAAAGATTGAAGCGCCACAGCACTGGCGAAAATTTAAATTTGCTGACTGGAAATCTTTCGGATGATTGACTTTCGGAAAATCGACGCTCTACTGTATATATAAATAATCCAGACCGGTTGATAATAATAATAATAAGCGCAGAGCCCAAACGGTTAGGAGTTGAAAGTTGAAATTTGGTACATAGTTAGGGTACGTCACGGAACGCACACTTAGAAGGAAAAATTGGATTAAGACAGGATTAAGACTTCAACAATGGAAGTGACAATAATGGAAGTGTTAAGAGAAAGCGACGTGCAAGATTTACAGGCGCAGATGCGGTTTTTTTCGTTTTCCGGAGATCGAACATATTTTTAGATCCATGTAAAAATTCTCTAATTGGTCTGGAAACCGGGAGACCTAATTCTTGCATTCTGTGAAAACGGGTAAGATTGGCTATTCGCGTTTTTCATGAAAAATAGAGGGCGCTGCATTTTTACAAAATGGCTACTTTATCTGGGTCCCTTATAACTAGTAATGTAAAATTAATCTTATATCACTGTCCGATGTAATGATATATGATGGTTGTAGAAATTTTATAGGAGAACAATTATTGCTAGCGGTAAACATTATTATGTGGTATCGAAACAAATGAGTGAGATCGTTCTATACATATTTGTACCCTTTGTGTTAAAAAGCATCAGCTTTGACATTGTCCTATCAGGGCCGGATTTACCAGTAAAAAGCTATGTAAGTTATTGCTTAGGGCCTCAAACATTTGTACAAAAAAGAAAATTGAAGTCAAATTTTGTAATAAACATTTTTTTACAAACCAACAAAATATACTTTACTTTTTATTTTGTATAGTATTTCATTAATATTTTTTCTAAGAATTAACAAGATCTTTTTAAAAATAATTCATCAAACCAATTTAAGAAAAGTTTTTTAATGGAATGAATATAAAAATTTAATTAAATTCAATTATAAAACAAGACTAGCGAAACCTCACATCTTCCAATATCCGTATTAATCAGAGTCATACTCTGATTTAATTCTTTTCCTTTTGTGATTGACTTGTAAAATTGTGAAGGATCGGTAAGGGGCCTTACAGAGTTCGGCTTAGGGCTTCGAAATGCTTAAATCCCACCCTGTGTCCCGCACAAAATTACTGACATTTTAAACTTTATGAAAATATGTTTTAAAATTGACAGCGTAACTTGTTCGTGTAAAGCTGGACAACTAATCGAGAAACTGCCAATTCTTAACAGTCTAATCCGTCAGTAGTAGATAAATGTCAGTTGCGCTCCACAAAAGTACGGACAAGAGTAATTATACAAAATAGGGTAAAAATATGGTTAAATGTTTAAAAAATTCAGTGAATTTAATCAAAAATCAAAGCCTGTAAAATTCATTTATTCCTAGGTAGATAAACTTGGAATGAGAACTACTAATTTTTTATCACCGTAGCGAGTGGATACTGATTTAACATAACGAATTGGATATTCGTAATCAATTCGCAGTTCATTTAACTATTTTGTGGGAGTATTTTGAAGTTTACTAATATCGTTTAGTTTATTGAGTCTCCATTTAAATAGGAAAAAATTTATTTATTACAAATTCTTGCTAACGATGAAACAACTATATTTTTATAATTATTTTCAATAAATTCGTCGGAGAACCTTTTCTTTAAAATAACATCACACCAATCGATTTTATTTTTATGTTTTATGATAAAATCTTCGGATAATTCTTGATGTTTAACAACTATTTTTCAGTCTAATACATTTAATCGATCCAAGTCTTCGAGTAATTGTTCCGATATGGTTTGATACCTTATAAGTGAATTTAAATTTAATTTAGAGCATTTTTCCTAATAAAGTCATTATCTAAATTTTGAAATCGAGATATAGCATCCCAATTTACCTTATTTCATATTCTAGAATAAATTCCGAAGATAATGTTTGATGTGTAGACTTGAGTTTCCAATTAACCTTATCATCAATGTCTTATAAAATTTTCAGAGACTTTGCTGTTGTGATATTTTTTTCCAGTTAACTCTATCTTTAATTATTCATTAATAAAAAATTCAGACAATTTTTGTGTATGAGATATTGAATCTCAATTAACTTCATCTTTCAATTCTCTTATTAAATCTTCTGTTAAATTCTCTCGTTTAGAAAAATTATCCCAACCGATATCCCTTTTTATTCTAGAGTCCATTTATATAAGAAAAAATTTATGACCTAATGCAATTGTACGAATACCATCTTCTAATATATGTCTCTTATCATCATGTGGTGATAAGAGACATATATTAGAAGATGGTATTCGTACAATTGCATTAGGTCATAAATTTTTTCTATTAGGTCATCGATTTTGAATAAAATGCATTTATACTTCCTATTAATTCAAAAAGAGTTCTTTGTTTCCCCTGAAGTTCAAGATCGAATTTATTCGTTTTGGTTGTTATACAGCAAGAAAGGATAAATCTGACAACCAGCCGTAATCATTAAGTTCTTCATAAGTTTCGATTCTGGATTCTACAAACAGTTTTATCTCTGGAAGTAGCTCTACAAATCGTTGTAGGACTTTTTCCTTACAAAGCCATCTAACTTCAGAATGTGTTCCATACTCAGCATGAAGTTCATCAATAAGTTTATTTTATAATCTGAAGTGATCTGGCTGAAATAGAATTTACAATTTTTTGAACAACTTTCACATGTTCATAATGAAACACTTTTGTACATAACGCCTGTTGATGCAGTGATAATGAAGAAAATTTGGAAACTCTGCATCAATCTTACGTAACGTGATGATGCCAACACCAGAACCAATCGTGGCAGGTGCTCCGTTGGTTGTTATGTACAAAAATTTTTGAAAGCGGATTAAGCAGATTAGCAGATTCAAAGCATATATTAATGTCCTTAATGTAGTTTTTAATAACTTGGTATATGTCTTTCCCACGTGTATTTCCTTGTACCGGCAAAAGTGAGAGTATATTTTTTACTGAGCGATCGTTAAGACCATCCTTATAAAAATATTTATTTGAGCAATATCTCAGCTGTCTGTTGATTCATCACATTGTAAACTGAATAAAACGCATTTTTCTAAATCTTTTTTCTTTCTAATTTGATATTTTTAGATATTGCTTCTATCCTACGAATGACTAAATTTCTTGATAATTGAACATCTCCAATAACTGATGTAATTTTCTTCTTATTTTTAAATGTTTCTGATGCAGCGAGCATCATCTTTTTAGTTATGTTACCGTCGTCGAAGTGTATTTTGTGCATTGCGAGCATTGCAATCTTAAATGAAGCGATTGAAGCAGCTTTTGATTTAGTCACGGACTTAGTAAATATATATTTTTAGGCAACTGATATGGTTTTCACAAAATCACAAAATTAAATTATAATCTCTTGGATTTGTGAGTAAAAAAATGACACATTTTACAGCATTCAGATTGTTTACTTTGTCTGTAAACTGTTAGGAAATTAATATCGCATAAAACATTAAAGATAGTCTGTATAAAAGCTCGAATCTGTATACATCTGCAGTTATATGTATTGTTTTAGAAATATTACCACTCTGTAATAATAATACAGTATTCAGTTTGAAAATTGATGTTGAAATGTTCTCCACTATGTTTACAGGAAGGAGAAGAATGGTCAGTGGGCGAAAAATGTGTCAAGTACAAATGTGTCAATGGCGATAATGGACTTCAGAAAATAAAGCAGGAGTATGAATGTGATAAAACGTGCTCTCCTGTAAGTAAACATTCCTCTCAAATATTTAAATATATATCAAAAGTATGGACAATACTATTAATTTATAATGGTGATTTATATTTGTTAAATAGCGTCGAATTAAAACATACTTTAACATTTTCGATTCAGAACAATTTCAACAAAATAACTGAGTGATCATGTAACCATAACTTATCTTATTATCATTGCTGCCAATGTATTCTGCTGCTAAGCAACCGAATGTATCTTAATACACATTTAATTATGCAAAATAAAGTATTAAAATTTTAGAATAATCATAAACATTCAATCGATCGTATTTAATAAGTTTACACTTAGTGTTGTAACAAAGCAGGTACAACAGGTGACAAAAGAATTGCCAGTTCCAATATAAATATATATACAATTAAATAAGCTTCACATTAATTAACGTAAACGATTGTTTTATTATTAATATTCTACTACCAAAAAACATTATGAGACCCAAAAATAAAATGTTGCACAGGGCACTCAGTTAAGAATCCTACTGTATAATCAACAGAATAATTACTTAAAGAAGAAATAATTAAATAATTCCAGACATTCGAATAAAAGTAATAATTAACAAATTGTATTTGTAAGGCTTTCAACGAATTTGTTTCAGAATTTCCGTTATGTGGAACCATCACCCGGTTCTGAAAACTGCTGTGGACACTGCAATCAAGTTGCATGCGAAGAAAACGGAAATATATACGACGTAAGATAAGTGATTTTTTTTCTGTTCACTTAATACGTAGAATCTGCTTAATTCTGAGATTTATTGTAGATTGGTCAGCGCTGGACTTCCGAAATTAAAAAATGCTACGATGCCGAATATGCCGAAATAAACGGTGTAATTCAAATAGTTCACACCACCGTGTGTAAGTCCAACATCGAGAATTGTCCAAAGGTAAATGCTTTGAATCTCGATGTATTATAATCGTGAAACATTTATGCAAATTTCTTCTTCATTCATTAGGATCAAATCATTCTGGACGAAACTGGATGCTGTCAAATATGTCGTCGTGAGTACAACTCTTAGTGTTAAAGCATTGGATAATACAGTTTTTTAATTACTATTCTCTTCTTTTAGTTGAATGCAACCCTCGAGTGGTTCCTCCAGATGATACGAATCGAATGTTTTACTTTAATGACAAAAAAGGAAACTACTGTTACAATACTTATCCACTTCATAATGTAACGGTGGGTTCGGGTAAATGCTTATCAGAAGTTCGATATGATTATGGTAAGATTAGAGTTTTATTCTGTCTTCTATTTGGAAAATTAATTAATATTCTCATCTTCAATCTTTCCTGAAATATACAGAATAATATATAATGCTGGCATTATATATTATTCTGTATATATGTAATGTAATATATAATGCCAGCATTATATATTACATTACATAAATTACTTTGAACAGTATTGTTCAAAGAAAAATATTACATATTTTTATGTAATATTGTTAATAAATTATCATATCATACTGCATTATTTAATACATTCAATTAATATTTTCAGATACGGATTACTTTGACGGAATGTGTAGATGATGCGTGGCAAAAGAAACTGTACCAATGTCAATAGAATTTGAATGCAGGGATGGTTCATTTCTCACCAAACAATATCGTAAACCTGTGTCGTGCGAGTGCACAAAATGCAAAGGGTTGATTCACGAGGAAGAAATTCTGGAAAGAACACCTTCGAGTTAGCGCTTTTTTTACTCATCACCTTCAACTTTCTTGGTTTTATTACTTTAAAATTGTGTTTGTTGTTGTGAATTAAATGTCTTTATTTCGTCCAATATGTGAATTTCGAGTTATTGCTTATTAGCTTTAAATGCTGATTTATTTACTTCGTTATAAAAATCGATTCTCAAACCATTCTGGAAGAGAAAATCGAAAAACTAATATCAAAGCTGTCTTATTAAAGAAATACTTGAATTCGAGCTTTAGAGAACTGTAGAGAATTCTAGAGGATTAAATATTATCGTCGGAATTAAATTGCTGGGAAGTTCCTGGTGTTTTATACATGATTTTAGTAATGATCTAGACATACTGGCGCATTATAATCCGGATAAATTGAATTTGTGGACCCCATGTACAGTGTTGACTTCAGATACCTTTCTTCGGGAGAAGTTTCTTGAGAGAAATCCATCGATACCTTCCTTCGTTCTTTCTAAAGTGACCCCTGGAGTTTCTTAAGTTCCGCGATGCGCCACACCAGTATGATTCCCAGATATAGCGCTAACTTTAAATTTCGATATTCTCACTACAGTAATGCGCTAATAAAAGATTGGTTTGGGATTCCTGTAGATGGGGCCCCAGGAAATTGTTTTTTCTTCCCACAGGATAAAGTGCCACTGTCTAGACACCATTAATTTAAAAAATTCGGTTAATATTTAACATTTTCTCAAACCTTAATACATGTCTGGAGTGAATAATTGTCGCCAGTATAATAAATTGCAATCCTCTTGAGAATATAGAAAGTAATTTATCAATTAGAAGGAAACTTACGAATAATATTACATAACAAACTCGAGAATGAAGATGTAATTCGATCATACAAATATTACGAAATTACTCTTTTATAAATAACTTTATAAGTCCTTAAAAAACAATTATTGAAATATTTTAACAGAAAATATAGACCCACCAGTGGCCAAGCAGTTGCGTTGCCTGAACACTGGAGGTCGATTGCAGAGACAACGTTTAGACGCCGACGGCGGTTTAGAGATCGTGTAAACTGCGGTTCAAAAAAATTTCATTGCAGAGATGGCATTTGTCGCTTGCCACAGTTCAAACAGAGATTAGAAACCAGTTATTTGACCTACTTTTTAGAATCACTTCACAGCAGGTTTACACGGCGTTTTAATTCGAGTGTTGATGGAAAAATTTAAATAAAAATGAATATCCTTCCTTTGATAAATGTTATAAACGGTACGAATCGACGAAATTATTCATTAATTAATTGCTTGGAGCGAAAATAATAAAACGAAATAATTTACATTTGTTGTAAATGTTTCAATTTCGATATTCAAACGGGTGAGGACTTAAAACTGCAATTACAGTAGACCCCTTAAAACGGGTTCATATAATACGGATTCGTATAACACGGAGAAAAATTGCAATCGTATTCGTATAAACACGCTAAAAAAGACTCGTATAATTCGGTAAAACGTCATCGCCGACTCGTGTCGCGACAGGATTGGTCGAATCTATACCAAGTAGCGAATATTGCACAAACCGCTGAGTTTAAACGAGCAGCGGACCTACTAAAAACCATTTAGAGTATTATTTAACGGCCATAAAAATTATATATATATTAATGATGTCTCTAAAGTTCAGCGAATTTNAAATCGTTGTAGGACTTTTTCCTTACAAAGCCATCTAACTTCAGAATGTGTTCCATACTCAGCATGAAGTTCATCAATAAGTTTATTTTATAATCTGAAGTGATCTGGCTGAAATAGAATTTACAATTTTTTGAACAACTTTCACATGTTCATAATGAAACACTTTTGTACATAACGCCTGTTGATGCAGTGATAATGAAGAAAATTTGGAAACTCTGCATCAATCTTACGTAACGTGATGATGCCAACACCAGAACCAATCGTGGCAGGTGCTCCGTTGGTTGTTATGTACAAAAATTTTTGAAAGCGGATTAAGCAGATTAGCAGATTCAAAGCATATATTAATGTCCTTAATGTAGTTTTTAATAACTTGGTATATGTCTTTCCCACGTGTATTTCCTTGTACCGGCAAAAGTGAGAGTATATTTTTTACTGAGCGATCGTTAAGACCATCCTTATAAAAATATTTATTTGAGCAATATCTCAGCTGTCTGTTGATTCATCACATTGTAAACTGAATAAAACGCATTTTTCTAAATCTTTTTTCTTTCTAATTTGATATTTTTAGATATTGCTTCTATCCTACGAATGACTAAATTTCTTGATAATTGAACATCTCCAATAACTGATGTAATTTTCTTCTTATTTTTAAATGTTTCTGATGCAGCGAGCATCATCTTTTTAGTTATGTTACCGTCGTCGAAGTGTATTTTGTGCATTGCGAGCATTGCAATCTTAAATGAAGCGATTGAAGCAGCTTTTGATTTAGTCACGGACTTAGTAAATATATATTTTTAGGCAACTGATATGGTTTTCACAAAATCACAAAATTAAATTATAATCTCTTGGATTTGTGAGTAAAAAAATGACACATTTTACAGCATTCAGATTGTTTACTTTGTCTGTAAACTGTTAGGAAATTAATATCGCATAAAACATTAAAGATAGTCTGTATAAAAGCTCGAATCTGTATACATCTGCAGTTATATGTATTGTTTTAGAAATATTACCACTCTGTAATAATAATACAGTATTCAGTTTGAAAATTGATGTTGAAATGTTCTCCACTATGTTTACAGGAAGGAGAAGAATGGTCAGTGGGCGAAAAATGTGTCAAGTACAAATGTGTCAATGGCGATAATGGACTTCAGAAAATAAAGCAGGAGTATGAATGTGATAAAACGTGCTCTCCTGTAAGTAAACATTCCTCTCAAATATTTAAATATATATCAAAAGTATGGACAATACTATTAATTTATAATGGTGATTTATATTTGTTAAATAGCGTCGAATTAAAACATACTTTAACATTTTCGATTCAGAACAATTTCAACAAAATAACTGAGTGATCATGTAACCATAACTTATCTTATTATCATTGCTGCCAATGTATTCTGCTGCTAAGCAACCGAATGTATCTTAATACACATTTAATTATGCAAAATAAAGTATTAAAATTTTAGAATAATCATAAACATTCAATCGATCGTATTTAATAAGTTTACACTATAATAAGTTTACACTTAGTGTTGTAACAAAGCAGGTACAACAGGTGACAAAAGAATTGCCAGTTCCAATATAAATATATATACACGTAAATAAGCTTCACATTAATTAACGTAAACGATTGTTTTATTATTAATATTCTACTACCAAAAAACATTATGAGACCCAAAAATAAAATGTTGCACAGGGCACTCAGTTAAGAATCCTACTGTATAATCAACAGAATAATTACTTAAAGAAGAAATAATTAAATAATTCCAGACATTCGAATAAAAGTAATAATTAACAAATTGTATTTGTAAGGCTTTCAACGAATTTGTTTCAGAATTTCCGTTATGTGGAACCATCACCCGGTTCTGAAAACTGCCGTGGACACTGCAATCAAGTTGCATGCGAAGAAAACGGAAATATATACGACGTAAGATAAGTGATTTTTTTTCTGTTCACTTAATACGTAGAATCTGCTTAATTCTGAGATTTATTGTAGATTGGTCAGCGCTGGACTTCCGAAATTAAAAAATGCTACGATGCCGAATATGCCGAAATAAACGGTGTAATTCAAATAGTTCACACCACCGTGTGTAAGTCCAACATCGAGAATTGTCCAAAGGTAAATGCTTTGAATCTCGATGTATTATAATCGTGAAACATTTATGCAAATTTCTTCTTCATTCATTAGGATCAAATCATTCTGGACGAAACTGGATGCTGTCAAATATGTCGTCGTGAGTACAACTCTTAGTGTTAAAGCATTGGATAATACAGTTTTTTAATTACTATTCTCTTCTTTTAGTTGAATGCAACCCTCGAGTGGTTCCTCCAGATGATACGAATCGAATGTTTTACTTTAATGACAAAAAAGGAAACTACTGTTACAATACTTATCCACTTCATAATGTAACGGTGTGTTCGGGTAAATGCTTATCAGAAGTTCGATATGATTATGGTAAGATTAGAGTTTTATTCTGTCTTCTATTTGGAAAATTAATTAATATTCTCATCTTCAATCTTTCCTGAAATATACAGAATAATATATAATGCTGGCATTATATATTATTCTGTATATATGTAATGTAATATATAATGCCAGCATTATATATTACATTACATAAATTACTTTGAACAGTATTGTTCAAAGAAAAATATTACATATTTTTATGTAATATTGTTAATAAATTATCATATCATACTGCATTATTTAATACATTCAATTAATATTTTCAGATACGGATTACTTTGACGGAATGTGTAGATGATGCGTGGCAAAAGAAACTGTACCAATGTCAATAGAATTTGAATGCAGGGATGGTTCATTTCTCACCAAACAATATCGTAAACCTGTGTCGTGCGAGTGCACAAAATGCAAAGGGTTGATTCACGAGGAAGAAATTCTGGAAAGAACACCTTCGAGTTAGCGCTTTTTTTACTCATCACCTTCAACTTTCTTGGTTTTATTACTTTAAAATTGTGTTTGTTGTTGTGAATTAAATGTCTTTATTTCGTCCAATATGTGAATTTCGAGTTATTGCTTATTAGCTTTAAATGCTGATTTATTTACTTCGTTATAAAAATCGATTCTCAAACCATTCTGGAAGAGAAAATCGAAAAACTAATATCAAAGCTGTCTTATTAAAGAAATACTTGAATTCGAGCTTTAGAGAACTGTAGAGAATTCTAGAGGATTAAATATTATCGTCGGAATTAAATTGCTGGGAAGTTCCTGGTGTTTTATACATGATTTTAGTAATGATCTAGACATACTGGCGCATTATAATCCGGATAAATTGAATTTGTGGACCCCATGTACAGTGTTGACTTCAGATACCTTTCTTCGGGAGAAGTTTCTTGAGAGAAATCCATCGATACCTTCCTTCGTTCTTTCTAAAGTGACCCCTGGAGTTTCTTAAGTTCCGCGATGCGCCACACCAGTATGATTCCCAGATATAGCGCTAACTTTAAATTTCGATATTCTCACTACAGTAATGCGCTAATAAAAGATTGGTTTGGGATTCCTGTAGATGGGGCCCCAGGAAATTGTTTTTTCTTCCCACAGGATAAAGTGCCACTGTCTAGACACCATTAATTTAAAAAATTCGGTTAATATTTAACATTTTCTCAAACCTTAATACATGTCTGGAGTGAATAATTGTCGCCAGTATAATAAATTGCAATCCTCTTGAGAATATAGAAAGTAATTTATCAATTAGAAGGAAACTTACGAATAATATTACATAACAAACTCGAGAATGAAGATGTAATTCGATCATACAAATATTACGAAATTACTCTTTTATAAATAACTTTATAAGTCCTTAAAAAACAATTATTGAAATATTTTAACAGAAAATATAGACCCACCAGTGGCCAAGCAGTTGCGTTGCCTGAACACTGGAGGTCGATTGCAGAGACAACGTTTAGACGCCGACGGCGGTTTAGAGATCGTGTAAACTGCGGTTCAAAAAAATTTCATTGCAGAGATGGCATTTGTCGCTTGCCACAGTTCAAACAGAGATTAGAAACCAGTTATTTGACCTACTTTTTAGAATCACTTCACAGCAGGTTTACACGGCGTTTTAATTCGAGTGTTGATGGAAAAATTTAAATAAAAATGAATATCCTTCCTTTGATAAATGTTATAAACGGTACGAATCGACGAAATTATTCATTAATTAATTGCTTGGAGCGAAAATAATAAAACGAAATAATTTACATTTGTTGTAAATGTTTCAATTTCGATATTCAAACGGGTGAGGACTTAAAACTGCAATTACAGTAGACCCCTTAAAACGGGTTCATATAATACGGATTCGTATAACACGGAGAAAAATTGCAATCGTATTCGTATAAACACGCTAAAAAAGACTCGTATAATTCGGTAAAACGTCATCGCCGACTCGTGTCGCGACAGGATTGGTCGAATCTATACCAAGTAGCGAATATTGCACAAACCGCTGAGTTTAAACGAGCAGCGGACCTACTAAAAACCATTTAGAGTATTATTTAACGGCCATAAAAATTATATATATATTAATGATGTCTCTAAAGTTCAGCGAATTTTTCGCATAAAAATAACTTATCAGGAAACACGCGCCCGCCGTTCGATACGCCGCTCCACAACGAAAACAAGCTTAAGCAATGGCGTCGTCGAACAGAGCCCTGTCGGTAAGTAATCCTACAATTTTTTGTTCATAGCATAGTTTATACGGATTATTTCCAGAAAAACTATACGTGTTTTGGAAATGTTGAGTCAAATTAGTCTAGAATCGATTAATTTTATGGAAGAAAACCTTTCAAACAGCCGTAGCCCCTAAACTGCACACGTGCCGGGCTGAGATTGGCTCATGTATTTAAGTGATCGTAAAACATAGAATTCATATAGAACGGAACGTATCTACCGTATTATAGGGGGTCTATTGTAATTTAAATCAGATGCATTTATTTACAAATCGAGTATCGAGTCGGTTATAAAACGTTAATGCATTGTAGACTGCAATATATAAAATATAGTAAGGACCATAGTATGTGAGTGCCAGATTTGCAGTTAGAATTTTGTTCTCACCCTCTGATACAAGTACGATTGATTGTTCTATGTTACCCGGATACGCTTGGTTTGTAGATAGAATACTACGTTCAATTTAATTTTTTTGCATAGCTACAAATTATTTTAATATTAATATTATAATAATTTGTAAAGTGCCTTACAAAAGTGTAGTGAAGAGTGACATCGTGTGCGCCATTCGTACCGTTAAAATTGACAGATTAGTGTCTATGCACACGATTTATTTTTACAAAAGACGACTTCAATATATTTAGGTTTATGCACATCATATCATATTATTGAAAAGTCCACAGGAATATAATGGTAATTCTCCGGCACACAAAATGGAGGATAATAATTATAGAAAGATCCAATTATTATTTACTTCTCTCACTCTCTCCTTCTATTCGATTCTTGTCCACTGCATTCGTATGACAAAATTTGATGAGCATCGAGCGAGGAACTGGACCATTTAACTTGACAACTGAATTCAAGATTTTCTACTAACTTTCTTAGACGAGTCTTCACAATGAGTGACTGAAAAATAAAATGATATCAACGTAACATTTCGTTAACTTCTCTGTCGACTTCTCAAGATTTTAGCTTTTGTTAAAGTTTAATTGAGATTTTCTAGGCACCGAGGCGTATAACACGAACACACAAATTTGCTTTCGTACTTTTAACGTTATGTCTAAAACAGATTAAAGTAATAGGTTCGATACAGGATGTGAATGTCAAACGTCATCACCGAGGAAACTTCAAGAAACGTTTAAAATGTTCACCTGCAAGGCACACTTTTGCGTGTTTCAAATATTATATTGAGTCCACATCTCGCATGTTAAATGTCATCGAAATCTTACCGTAGACTTTACGTGGAGCATTTTTACTTCAAATATTTTAATGAATAACACCACCGAATGTTGCAAGAATAGCAAAATAACTCTTTGCTGGATTTTTTTTTTGTTTAAGGAAAAGTTATTATCATTTATCAATCGACACTCGTGTATAATAGATCCTATTATACACGAGTGTCATCAGAGATACGAGAGTTTCATCAAAGATATTTTCTTTAATTTCAATAATTCGCGTATTCAATCGATTTTTTTTCTTTTGATCATAATAAACCGCTATTATAATTGCAATATTTTTAATATNTATATATGTAATGTAATATATAATGCCAGCATTATATATTACATTACATAAATTACTTTGAACAGTATTGTTCAAAGAAAAATATTACATATTTTTCGAAAAGATCAAAAGAAAAAAAAATTATCTTAGAAATCAAAGTAAATTTACAACAATTATTAACTCGATTGACACGTACCGGGCGATCAGTTGATAAACCGAAATCTTACCGTAGACTTTACGTGGCGAATTTTTACTTCAAATATTTCAATGAATGGCACCACCGAATGTTGCAAGAATAGCAAAATAACTCTTTGCTGGATTTTTTTTGTTTAAGGAAAAGTTATTATCATTTATCAATCGACGCTCGTGTATAATAGATCCTATTATACACGAGTGTCATCAGAGATACGAGAGTTTCATCAAAGATATTTTCTTTAATTTCAATAATTCGCGTATTCAATCGATTTTTTTTCTTTTGATCATAATAAACCGTTATTATAATTGCAATATTTTTAATATTTTTAAACAAAAAATAAAGCTTTTACATAAAATCGAAACAAAATCGTTCGTTTTATAAATTTATTTATGAAACATCCATCTTTTATTACGTCGAATAGTCAGAGATCCATAGGCAATCAAATGAAATTGAAACAGGATCGAATAACAGTTGTGTCTGAATGTTGTAAATGTTGTGTCTCAGTTGTAAATGTGTCTGAAAACCTCCACCCCATGCTTGCCGTCACGTCACATGATGTTTACTTTAAACATGCGATATCATTTCACTTATATAAGTGAGTACGCAGTATAATTGTTCTACGATGCTAGCATTCATTCAGCTCGCTACACAAAAGTGTTGAAATTACTTTTATGTAAGAAAAGAATGATTGAGTAATTATTTTAAATTAAATTATATACTTTATTTAACCAATAATTAAAAAACTATGATAAGAACCATTTCAAGCGTAAGTCCTGCAGTTCATAAAAAGATTTTTACAGTACATTAAAAGATTTTTTGAAAGAGGTTGTATTTTTTTCAGATGCAAACGTCTTTTCAAGACATCAGAAGATTTGCTGACTGCGATCTCGGATTGGAACAGAAATTACAGATTTGATATGTTAAAAATATATCTTTATGTTGTATAATTTTTATGTTTTTGTGTAATAATAAAAATGAATAACTTTTTAGATTTTGAATTTCGTGAAAAGATTCGGTAAAGAATCCCTGTGTCTGTCGTGCAGAGATTACTTTAAGATTACGAAAAAGTTTCCAATAAAGGTAACATTTCTAAGAAAATTGAGTGATATTATTTTTATAATCTAAATTGAATTTTGCATTTAAATATTTCAAATGGGAAGTTCTCTGCATTCCATATTTTCTGCTCTTTCAGATATAAAGAAAGCTTCGAAACATAAAACGTAATAATTGCGCACAATACTTTGATTATGAAAGACAACTCTAAGGGCAATTATTTGTTAAAATGCGACGTCGCAATCACTAAAGTTTCTTAGAATTTATGTTATTTGCTTCAAATTGTTCGATATTGAGTTTTATGATTATGTTAACCTGTCATTGAAGATTCGTGCAATGTAGACAATTAGATTAATATTGCTCTGTTATAAGCAATTAATGTAATTTTAATATTAATAGCCGACAATTGAGCGAGAAACTCATAAAAGTACGTTGTAAGCTCCACGAAGATTCATTGATGTATACGTATAACACTCGATGATATAGACGTGTAATAATTA